CAGGCCTGTGGTTATTTGAAGGTCCAATGGCTGCCTGTTGGCCAAGGACACCAACATGTGGCCTTTCCACCATGGTGGTCCAGGGCAGTCGGCCTGGACCCCTTCCAATATCTCAATTTCAAGCAACCTGCTGGATGACGATTGCTTCCTATCCTTCCAACTCATTCTCTCCGGTACTCCAAACCCTGCAAACCTTCAGTCCCAGTGGGACCTCTGATCCATGGAGCCTACCACCTTTTCCCTCATGTCCTTACTTCCCTCCTCACCGGCTAAAGGCCATGGGCATCATATTCCCATGCACTGCACCCCCCCAGGTACCCCCGCCCCTCTCTGGCTAAATACCCACTGGTTGACGCCAACACTCTGTCCCTCTGTGCTTGTCCCCCTGCAGTGGAACGTGGCTGGACAATGTAGCACGGAAGCCGCCATGCACTGGGCTCCCCTTACTTACATGATGGCACCTGGCTGACTCAGTTGGTAGAGCATGCAACTCTTGATCTTGGGGTTGTGAGTTTGAGCCCCATGTTGGGTGCGGAGATTACTTAAAAATAAAATCTTTTTTTTTTTTTTTAAGAGCTTTCCCTCCCTCCCTTCCTTTCTTTCTATCTTTCTCTCTTCCTGTTTGTATGTATTTAAATTTTCTTCTGCTCTCTCTAAATCCCACTCCCTTGGGCTCCCACCATTCTACCTAAACTCTTTCTTGTCAAAGTCACGATGCCCTCTCCTTTGCTAAATCTGCTCTAGGTTCTCGGGTCTCGTCTTCCTTGACCTCTCAGCAGCATTTGAGACACACCCACAATTCTCCCTGCTTTGAAGTGTTTTCCTGACTTGGCTCTCAGGACGTCTGCCCCTGGCTGCTCCCTCTGAAGCTCCTTTGTTGCTTCCTTTCGCCGTAATGCCGGGTGCCCTGAGGCTCAGTCCTCCAACTTCTTCTCTTCTCTCTGTTCACTTCCTTGGAGATCTCATCCAGTCTTATGGCTTTCAAAGCTATTTCTACAATGAAGACTCCTGTATTAGTCTACTTGAGCTGCCAGAACAAGAGACCGCAGACTGAGTGGCTTAACAATAGAAATTTATTTTGTATTTCTCCTGGCTCTGGAAGCTCAAGGTGCCAGGAGGGTTGGTTTCTGGTGAGAACTCTCTTGCTGGCTGGCTGCCTTCTCCTCATGTCCTCCCATGGCCTTTCCTCTGTGCACACTCAGAGACAGAGAGAGAGAGAGCTAGGGAGAGGGAGAGAGAGAATGAGAAAGAGAGAGAGAGGGAATGCGCTCTGAGGTCTCTTCCTCTCCTTACAAGGACACCAGTCCTACTGGATTAGGGCCCCACCCTTATGGCCTCATTTAACCTTAATTACCTCCCTAAAGGTTTTATCTACAAATACAGTACATTGGGGGTTAGGGCTTCAACATATGAATTTTGGGGAGATGTAATTCAGTCCATAACATGACAAAATTACATCTCCTGCGTAGACTTCTCTCCTGGGCTCCGATTCATGCATGCAACTTCTAACTAGGCATCTCCACTTGGAGGTCTGATGGGTACCTCAAACTCAACAAGTCTCAAATGGAACTGCTAATTCCTTCCTCCTTTCCCCACCTGAAAAATTTTCCCATAGCCTTCCTCATCTCAGTTAGTGGCAAATGCCTTCTTTCAATTCCTCTGACCCAAAGCCTTGGAATCACCCTCAATTCCTTTCTATCTCAAAACCCCATCCCCAACCTGTTCTTTTGGCTTTACTTTCAGAATAAGCCCAGAGCCTAACTTTGATTCAAACCATAGCCATCTTTTGTCTGGATTGTGGCCGTGGCCTCTTCCCTGATCTCCCTGCTTCAGCCCTCGCTCCCATTCCATTTATTCTATACCCCGCTGCCCATGAGATCCTGTAGAAATGCAAAGCTGGGCCTGTCCTCCCTCTGGTCAAAACCCTTCAGCATCTCCCACCTCACTCAGAGCAAAAGCCAGAGTCCTGACCATGATGCACAAGGCTTTACTGTATTCAGTCATTTAATCCTGACAAGAGCCCAATGAACTGGGTCTATCAGTTAGCTATTACTATAATAATGTTGCATAACAAGCCACCCCCGAAGTCTGTGGCTTACAGCAACAAATATTGATTTCTCCCTGTCTCATCTGCAGTCTTTGGGGTTTGGCTGATCTTGCCTGAGCTCTGTGGGGCTTGGCTCCACGTTATGTCTGTTGTGTGTTTCTTCCACTGTTCCACACCAGCCTGTTTGATGCTGGGGCTTTGGATAGAAGCTCTAGGTTCCCTAAACAGTACAGAACATTCTCCTCCTAGCTGTTTAGCTGTCAGTCAAGAGGGATAGAGGTCATGAAAACATACAATTTAAAGTTTAATACAAACTCAACATCAAAACACAAAACTTTCTTCACACAGACCTTCCTACAGAAACTTCAACTGGGACTCTGTTTCAAAAGACACAATGCACCAATGGCAGTCCCATCCTTATGGTTGAGAAGGAAACTCCCAGGGGCGATATTGAAAACAGAAGACCTTGGGGCACCTGGGTGGCTCAGTTGTTAAGCGTCTGCCTTCGGCTCAGGTCATGATCCCAGGGTCCTGGGATCGAGCCCCGCATTGGGCTCCCTGCCCGGCTGGGAGTCTGTTTCTCCCTCTGCCTCTCCTCACCTCCGCTCGTGGTGTTCTCTCTCTCTCTCAAATAAATAAATAAAATCTTTTAAAAAAAAAAAGAAAGAAAGAAAACAGGAGACCTCTTAAGGCTTAGTTTGGAACTTACACATTGTCACTTTCATCTACATTTCACCCGCCAAAGCATATCTCATGGCCAAGCTTAATATCAATGGAGTATAACCAGCCCTGGCTGGGGGGACAACATGACAGTCACTGAATAGTAACCTAATCTGCCACAAGATATTTCATGCTACATCCTCTCTTTTTTCTTTTTTTCCTTCTTTCCTTCCTTCCTCTTTCTTTCTTCCTTTCTTTAAGATTTTATTTATTTATTTGAGAGAGAGAGAGAGAGAGCGCACCAGCAGGGGGAGAGGGAGAGGGGCAGGGGAGAGGGAAAAGCAGGCTTCCCGCTGAGCGGGGAGCCCAAAGTGGGGCTCGATCCCAGGACCCCAAGATCATGACCGGAGCTGAAGTCAGGTGCTAAACTGACTGAGCCACCCAGGCACCCCACTTTCTTTCTTTTTAAACAGATGAGGAAACTAAGCCTCAGAGACATCAAATAAGTTGTCCAAGGTTATACTGCTAGTAAATGACAGAGCTGGAATCCAACCAAGTTAGAGTCAAGTTTACAAATGTCATGGATGCCAGGCCAAGGGATTTGGACTTTCCCTGAAGGCAATGAAATGCCACTGAAAACTCTTGAGCAAGAAAGGAACATAGTGGTTAATAAACTTTCTTCCAGTGGCAGTGTGTGTGCAGGATGCCTGGGAGAGGGAGAGGGAGGGGCTCCCCGAGGTAGTTATAAAACTTCAGACCAGAACTGATAAGGGACCGGGCTGGAGCAGTGTCAGGAAAAGGGGGGAGAAACAGTAAACGTAAAAACCAAATAGAAGAAGACAGAGGTGAGAGACAAACTGAAGGACATTTTTTTTTAATTTTTATTTTTTAATTTTATTTTTTTAAGATTTTATTTATTTATCTGACAGAGAGAGAGACAGGAGAGAGGGAACACAAGTAGGGGGAGTGGGAGAGGGAGAAGCAGGCTTCCCGCTGAGCGGGGAGCCCAATGCGGGGCTCAATCCCAGGACCTTGGGATCATGACCTGAGCCGAAGGCAGCCACTTAACCGACTGAGCCACCCAGGCACCCCTAATTTTTATTTTTTTCAAGATTTTATTTATTTATTTGAGAGAGAGAGAATGAGAGACAGAGAGCACAAGAGGGAAGAGGACAGAGGGAGAAGCAGACCCCCTGCTGATCAGGGAGCCCGATGTGGGACTCAATCCCGGGACTCCAGGATCATGACCTGAGCCGAAGGCAGTCGCTTAACCAACTGAGCCACCCAGGTGGCCCGAAAAAGCGTTTTTAAAATGTCCTTCAGTGGGTGCCTGGGTGGCTCATTTGGTTAAGCGACTGCCTTCGGCTCAGGTCATGATCCTGGAGTCCCGGGATTGAGTCCCACATCGGGCTCCCTGATCAGCAGGGGGTCTGCTTCTCCCTCTGTCCTCTTCCCTCTTGTGCTCTCTGTCTCTCATTCTCTCTCTCTCAAATAAATAAATAAAATCTTTAAAAAAAAAAAAACGCTTTTTCTTTATAGAGGGTTGAAATAAAAATTCATGTTTGTTACCAAAAAAAAAATTTTTTTCAAACAAAAAAAATTTGCACAACGCAGACTCAAGTGTTTAAAGTCCCCTCCACTTCCTCTCTTCTGAGATAAGCTCCATTAATAGTCTGTGGTAAATCCTTCCTGAACTTGGTCTAAAACTATACAACCCGTATACATCTACCCATTTTTAAATGTGTTTTTAAAGCGTGTTCTCACCAAACTTTTGTTTCATCCCTTGCTTTTCGCTCCATAACAGCATGACAGAGCCAGGTTTCCGTGTCAGGACATTATATTGTCATTCTTTTTAACACCTTTGCCACTGACAAGCTGGGGGACCATGTACAGGTTGTTTAGCCTCTCTGACTCTTGGGTGTGCTTCATCTCTGAACGGGGACAAAAATGTCATTGCCACACAGGGCTGTCACGAAGATTAAAAGAGCTCAGGGGCGCCTGGGTGGCTCAGTCGGTTAAGTGACTGCCTTCGGCTCAGGTCATGATCCTGGAGTCCCGGGATCGAGTCCCGCATCGGGCTCCCTGCTCAGCGGGGGGTCTGCTTCTCCCTTGACCCTCCTCCCTCTCACGCTCTCTGTCTCGCAAATAAATAAATAAAATCTTTAAAAAAAAAAAAGAGCTCATACATATAAGGCCCCTTGTACAGTGTGTGACGAATACGAAGTTCTCAAAAAATATTAGCTCTTGTTGTTCATAGCTCCATGCTTAGCTGCATGATAATTTATCTCACCAGGTCCGGGCATACGATCACTTCGTGCGGTATGTTTGCAAAGTCGGCCACAGCAATTCCAGCTTTCCCAGTACACGTGACTCTTTGCAGCATGACTTTGGTGTCTATTGTCTATGGAGTCTATTTCTACTCTCCTTGAATCTGAGCTGGCCATGGGACAGGCTTTGCTCAATAAAATGCAATGAGAGTGATGCTCTAGCACTTCTGAGCCTAGGCCTCAAGAGGCCTTGCTGCTTTTGTTCTTTGCCTTTTGGAGGCCATCATGTGAGGAAGCCTGAGCTAGCTGCTGAAGAAGCCACGCGAAAGAGAACCAAGGCACTCAAGCCCACGGGCCTGGGCAGCCGGCAGTCACGTAAATGAGGCCATACAGGGCCAGCCAGCTCCCCAACGTGCTCACTGACTGCAGATGTGGGAGTAAGACCATGCACAGCAGAAGAGAACTGCCCTAGCTGAGACATGTCCATACTGCCAATCTACACCAGCAGAAGCAAATAAATAATTGTTGGTTTAAGCCACTCTGTGTTTGGGGTGCTTTGTTAAGCAGCAGTAGAAAGCTGATACATTTAGGTTTGGTGCAGAGAGGATGACCCAGGTTGGAATGCAAGGGCTGTCACTGCATGTGACCTTGGTCATGTCTCGTAATCTCTCTTGGCCTCGATTTCCCCATCTGTGCAATGGGATACTTTTAGTCCCTACCTCATCAGGCTGATGGGAGGGTTAAATGAGATGATGAACAGTCACCGTGAGGCACAGAGCAACTGCTACGACTCTTAACTGTGATTATTGCTGTTGTTGTTCGAAGGCAGTCTCGACTGAGAGTTGTAATGTGGGGTGTCAGGAAGAATAAGTGATAAAGATAACTGAGCTGGTCTTTTGAAGCCTCCATAGCTGGGTGAACATTGGAGAAGGGGAGCTTCTTGGGACAAGAGACCTATACCAGGCTGGCCAGGGAGATGGCAGGGGTTAGGGCTCGTTCCTGTCCTGCTCAGTGTGAAGGATTGTATGTTGTGTGCCTGGGTGAGCTCTCCGAAGATGGACGCTGGAACTGGGTGGAAGAATGAAGAACTGACACCGTAGGAGGGGCCGAGACCATAGGAAGGTGTGAAAGCTAAACCTTGGGCAATATCCCCACTCTTCTCACGTGAATCCCAGACTCCTTACCATGGCCTGAATGCCCTGCCCACCTCTCCCACCAGATTCCCTACCCTCTCTCCCTCACTCACAGTACTTCAGCCACCCTGGCCTCCTTCCTCAAACTTACCCAACTCTTTCCTGCTTCAGGACCTTTGTACTCACTGCTCCCTTCTCAGGGAATTTCCAAACCACTCAAGCTGAAGTGCTCCCCCTTTTAGTCTTTTCCATAACTACTTATCTTTTTCCTTCATAGCATTTTTTGCTACCTGAAACTATGTTGTTTATTTATTTGTTTACCCACGTATTATTTGTTTCTCACTTTAGAAAGTGAGTTCCGGGCGCCTGGGTGGCTCAGATGGTTAAGCGTCTGCCTTCGGCTCGGGTCGTGATCCCGGGGTCCTGGGATCGAGCCCCGCATTGGGCTCCTGGCTCGGCCGGGAGTCTGCTTCTCCCTCTCCCACTGCTCATGCTCTCTCTCTCTCTGTATCTCTGTGTCTCAAATGAATAAATAAAAAAAAATCTTTAGAAAGTGAGTTCCATGAGGAATTGGTGTCGATCTTGCTCATACCCCAACCCCAGCACTTAGCACTGTGTCCCGCTCATAGCAAGTGATTAATAGCTGTGAACTGAATAAATGTGAACAAAGGATCCATGACAGCTGGCTCAACAAACAAACAAACAAGATCCAAGAGCCAAGTGGAAGGCCAGTCATTTCCTTAAAAAGGTCTTCATGAAAACCTTGGGATCATCTTGTCGAACTCCTCAGCCCACAGGTGGGGAAACAGGCCCGGAGAAGAGGGTTACCCACCTTCGAGCACCCAGAAAGCCATTATTGTAGATTCCCAGCCCCTGGGGTCAAATGCTGCAGACCTGTCTGGCAGATAAGCCCAGAAAACTCACAGCCACCTCCTTGCGGTCATTGCTGTGTGTCTGCAGTTGCCGCCGCCCCAATCGTATAGGGAAGGAAATTGCCCCTTTGGGAGCAGAGGTGCCAGTAAGCTGACAAACCGTGAAAGGGGGGCTGGAGAGAGTGGGAAGGCCCATTCCTGGGCCAGGCAGCTATTCTGAGGCAGCTCAGGGATAATAGCTGGTACCAAAATAACCCAACCTCCTCACCCTTGTTCCAGCCCTCACACCTCTGCCCCACTAGAGGTGAGGCTAACACTTGAATTCCTCTCGGTAACACACCAGTTTTTAGCAGGGCCTGCGGAGAGGACAGTGATCATCACACCCAGGCCTGTCCACTGGGGGCTCACAGTCTGACGGAGGAGGCAGGCTAGGGACCAGTCAAGGCTGCTGACTACGTCTGGGGAAGCTCAAGGGAGGGTAGATCCCCAGAAGAAAGGACCCCTGAATTAATTCAATGGACATACGAAGTTAGCCAGTTCAGGGGGTGACAGTAACAGAAGTAACCGCCAGCGCAAAGGGAAGGCGGCAACACAGATAAGCTCCAGGAATAGTTGGCAGTTTTAGTAGGTAGAAGCATCAGAAATATGAGAGGGGAGGGGCACAATAGGAGCCTAGAAAGGGGGGTGAGTGGCTGTCCAATTTATCTAAGAATTTAGATGTCAAGAGAAGAACTTAGGCTATCTTCGGTGCACAAAGGAGAGCCCTGGAAGATTTTTATCCATAAGGACGCCACGATCAGGTTGGCAAGATATAAAGTGCCCTGTGGCTGCTTTGGGGAGGTTGTCTGGGCCAGGGGAGGGGGAGGAGGGGCAGACCGAAGGAAGAAAACACTTTATTCTAGATGGGCAGTTCTAAACAGGACTCCTGCAGGAGACAGGAATGGAGTCTCAGTCTCTCCAGGGCTTGGATCATTACTCCGTCGACTCCCGCGCCACACCACCCCGAGGGTTCAACTTTCGTTCTTTTGTTGCGAACTCAAAAGTTTGAGCAGAACAAATGTGCTGCTGGAACCCTAACCCTAGTCGAGGGGTCCGAGCAAGAGACTCCATCTCCCAAAATGCTTCGCTTTACAGCCCTGCGGGTCGCGCATGCTTCAAGAAAGGCCGGCCGGCTTGTCCACCCGTCAGCTGGGTGAAGTGCAGGAAACATGGGGACCGCCATCTTAGCTTGGGGCAAACCAATTGTAAACCTATGGGAGGTTCTTCTTCTCTGCCTCGTCAGTTCTTAACAGGTACTAAAACAAAATGCTCTTAATTATTGCAAATCTCTTTATTATGCTTTACATTGAGAATTTCTTCCATTTTGCCCCCCAATTCGGAACTGCACCTGCAGGGATACAATAGCACATCCCAGCATGGCCGCACTCAGCCAGATTCCGCTGGGGGTGGACTCGGAAGCGGTCCCGCCCCGCCTCCTGGTAGGAAGGGGGTTTCCGCTTCCGGCAGCGGCGGCTGCAGCCTCGCTCTCGTCCCTGCGGCTGGCGGCGGAGCCGTGTGTCTCCTCCTCCGCCGCCGCCATATTGTCTGTGTGAGGAGAGGGGAGAGCGGCCGCTGCTGCCGCTTCCACCACAGGTACGGTGGGAGCCGCCAGGGGAGGTCGTTGGGTGTGGAGGTGGGCCCAGGATGGGACAACGGGGCGCGGTCTCCCCTCGCGCTCCCAGCGGACTCCGGAGCGGCCCGTCGCCTTCCCCTGCCCCCCCCCCCACACCAGCCGAGGCCCCTGCAGCCCATCGGGGAGGCCTGGGGCCACCCTTCAGGACGGGGAGTGAGGCTTCGTGGGCAGAGGCTGATGTGAGGGTGGGAACTGGCTTTCGGGAGTCCGGCTTATTGCGGGGGAGAGGGCTGGACTGGGGGCGGGGACTAGGGGGCAACTTGGAGGAAGGGGTCGCCGGAGGGGGAAGGGAGCTTGAGGGGTGGGGCCACTAGGGGATGCTGGGGGAGGGTGCCTAGGGGAGTGGTGCCTGCTGGGTAGGGTGGGGTGGACCTTCCCGCGGAGCGGAGCAGATGGGAGTGGGGGCCTTCTAAGGGTCCCTCTGGGCCCGGCGGGCTTCCCACCTGCAGACTGGGGTGCAAGGGAGAGGGAGCCCCGGGCGAGGTCGCTGGGGAGAAGGGGGGAGGGGACCACGAAGTGGGGCAGAATGGGTGGAGTTGGAGTTAAGGGTTAGTTGGGAGCCTGGGTGGAAGGGAAGTATGTAGAATGAAAGCTTGGCCAACAGTATACATGTTAAGTTTGTGACCTTTTGAAAGAGTACGACTTTTATTTTGGTTTCTGTTTTTTTTGTTGTTTGTTATTTTGTAGCGTTGGAACATTTCTAGTCTAGGCAGGTGATGGGTGGAGCTTCAGTAGTTTGTTTTTTGGAAAGCAAAGTCAGGGTCGGAAGAAGTAGCTTCTTGACTGTTGCCATTGTGGGAAAGGAAGAGTTTGAAAAGAAGGTGGTAAATTAATTTGGGAAGACTTGATTACCTTTCAGCTGCCGAGTTCTATGAGAAGGGGGCATGGGGAGAGGACATGAAAAGAAAACTGGAAAGGGAAGATTTTTCTCGGAGTTGGGAGACTGCATTACATCTAAGGAGTGGCAATACAGGCTAGTGGTAAAGAACCAGAGTGCTTGGGTTCTCAAATATCATGCCATTACTACTTAGCTGTGTGTCCTAATCTTTGTAAACCTTGGTCTTCCTATCTGTAGAGTGGGGGCAGTATTTCCTAGATCATGCAATATGGTGAGCAGTAAATAAGATAATTTGTGTCAAGTGCTTACCGCAGTGCCTGACAGGTAGTAAGTGCTCGATTAAAGGGACTAGGTGGTTTATTTCGGCTTCCTCTGTCCTGCGTAGAATTTGTGGTCAAGAATCTAACAGGCAAGACTGAAGAATATTACCTTTGTAGTAATTGTTGCAGTTTCTTGTTTTGTTGTAAGTCAGTTGACTTAATTGGCTTGGTGGACCTTTGACTGAAAGACCAGAACCAGTAACTTGATCTTCCTCAAGTCATTTTAAAAACTTCACCTGCTGTTTTATCTGGGGCAGGTTTATCCTTGTGTGACTTTGAAATACTTGACTTTCATGTGCCATTGGGGGAGGGTACATGACTTCAAGAAAGAATGAAAAGATTTGAAATTTGCTTAGATTGATTTATCAACTGCTTACAAAGTTAGGTCACCCTGGGGCAACTTTTGTTTAAAAAAAAAAAAAACATGCCCAGTTATGTTCTCTTGTATGGAATAAAATAGAGAAGAGAAGCACACATTTAAGGGGAACATTGGGTTACTTCTATGTAATGGGTTTATTGCCTTGCTGTTTGGGGATAAAACAAGTGGCAGCTTCTTTCCCACAGTGTATTTTTAGTTCTCTTGTTGCCTAGCCGCTGTTACAGGGTGAGTCTTTGATTTTACTCTGAACAGACACCTTTACTTCACATACTCCTTTGGACAAAGGGGAAATTTTCTTCAGGAACTGAGTTTAAAGCCCTACATAGGGTTTGGGTTTGTAGTCGACAGAATGCCACCCCTGCCAAAAAAAGATGTCTATACTTTAA